GTGAACCTATTTCAAAAAGTATAAAAATATGTATGTTTCATTAGAAATAACGGTGGAGCATTAGTCCAGTCGTTTCGAAAAAATTTTGGGCAAATTGAGCAAATCAGGTTCTCATAGATCAATGAAAAGCAATGGGAATATGACTTTTATGTCAATGTCATTTGGCCGAAATCTTTTGGAAACGACGGTATAAAGGTAATTAAAATCCGTGTACATAAAACTCAAATTATACGACTAACAACACAGCGATTGTGTACAAAATAATTCCGACTCAACTTAGACTCTAATTCCTTCATTGACTGGACTAGGCTAAAACTCCTCCGACAGTGGTACTATTTAAACAGGCGTACGCTTCTTCTGGCAAGATCGCGAACGTCGCGTTCGAGGTTGTTCTGGAGCCCACCATCGAGATAAATCCCGCAACGTCCAGCGGGTTGCTTTTACGCTTTTCTTTATTCAAGCGCCGCTGTCACCGATGATAAGTCACCGCGCCGTACATACTAGAAAACCTATAGGCGTCGTACCGGAGCGGCGTATGGGTTACTTCCTAATAGTACATTATTTCCTCGGGACTGTTATTGTTGATTGTGTGCTGTTTCAAAATTAAAACTAAAAAAAAAATGGACCAGCTCCCGCAGACAGTCCTTGGCGGTGTCGATGTCACGCAGGCGGCTTTAAAACAAATCAAAATAGTTTATTTATGCGCAATAAAATCGGCTACACAAATTATAATATAGTATTGTGTTAAACTAAACATCTTGCCAAAATTTGGCGTTGAAGTGTGATCGTCAACAAAATGGAACCCTTGTGTGGGTTTTATGGCGGAATGGCTTCAAGTGCAAGGTGGTGAACCTCACCATTGGCAAAGTAACTTTAAATCAAAATACAAAATATGGACGGCAAATTATGTATTCAAATTTTCGTTTAAAAATGAAAAAACATAGGAAAAACACAAATCGTTATTAAAGTAACTACATAAGAGTAATGTAATGGAGTGGTGAAAAATTTAAATATGGACAGTCTAGAAACCAACAAACGTGGTGCAGAGGACGTTAACGATAACGAAATTTAAGTTCCTCGTCGTAGTCTGCCACTCTTTCTCGATAGTTTTACCCTGTTAACAATTATAATACACACACCACATCTCTATACCCAAAAAACCTGCCGCATATTAGATAATCTACCCTGTCTTCACAAAGCAGCCAGTTGCTTCATTACTGCACGTTTCACGTAGCAAGCATTTTATTTATTTATTTATTTATTTATTTATTTTTAAAAACCGTCAGCTTTAACACCAAAATGTGTGTTCCGCTTTCGGCACTCAATCTAGTGCTTTTATTTCAATAAAATTGACATCCCGTATTTCTCGAACATGATGACTACATGAGTACCAAAATTGCCAAGTAGACAGCACAGAGCATTTAATTACGCCACACTCTAGCAAGGATTTAAAACAACAAAAAATTTACATAATGGTAAATTATGCATTCTTTGATAATAATTAAATCAAAATCAGTTCATCATGGACTAAACAAATTCCCATATTACATAAAAACAAAGCACATATAAAATAAACACAGCAGATGCATATTAAATACACTGGGAAACCAAATAATAATTCGAGAATAAGCCTAAATAAGTGAATGTTCTGTCGCGTGTTTTACGTGAATATTTACATTATTGTAGTTACATTGTAGTTATTAGAACCATGAATAGTTAAAAATCTTAACATGAACTGTGAATTTACGAACAATAAAACAAAAATAACACATGTTGACGAATTTGCTAGTTTCACAACATTTCAGATTAAAAAATCAGCAAAAACACCACACTTCTTAAAAACCATCCAAACATTTTGCGCCAAAAAACTTTTACTTCCCGAGCGTAAGCTAAGGAAGTATAATAATCGAGTCCATCGGACGAATGGCCACTTTTATATTTTCACACCCTTTTATGACCCCTAGAGTACAAAAAAAGTAGTCTCCCGTTTCCGTCTGTATATCTGTCTACCTGTCTGCCTGTTTGTCTGTCTGTTGTCTGTATCCATTTTTATTAGACACGTGATCTTCGAAAATATTGCAGCGATTGTTGTCAAATTTCGTGTGTATATTAGAAATATCCTGTAGATGGTTAAATTCTAACTAAAGTTTTGTTAATCATCCTCACCAACAGTTTGATGACGTTATTTCAAAGAATTCTATGTTTATTTGATTTAACTTTAACGACAATATAGTCCTATAAGTGTGGTGTACGAATCCGCTTTGAGTTTTTCCCAAACCGTCCAAATTTTGCAAAAACTGAAAAGTATAATAATAGTTTACAATTAATGTAAGGCAACCCGGTGGTGATCTAATGGTTACGAGTCAGGAATGCGGACCGGACGTCGCGCGTTCGATTCCAAACTCTTTCCAGAGATAATATTATCTCTGCTCTTTCTCTTTTTTTTTCGCTTTTTCTCTCGCATTGTGTATTACCTATGTTTATGACGTCATAACAAATTTTTTATTGATGAAATTACCTCACTTTCACGAAAAGGTAAGAATACGCTCCACTTTATTTAAAAATGTAAAACCTTCTTGGGTGCGCCAAATGTCTTCTTTTAAAAATGTGAAACCTTCTCGGTGGTCCCAAGTGTCTTTTTTAAAAATGTAAAACCTTCTCGGTGGCGCCAAATGTTTTTTTTTTTTAAATGTGAAACCTTCTCAGGGGTCCCAACTGTGTATTTTTAAAATGTAAAACCTTCTTGGGGGCCCCAAATGTCTTTTTTTTATGTGAAACCTTCTTGGGGTGCCAACTGCCCTATTTTAAAGAAGGCGAAAATTTCTCGCAGCTCCAAGGGTCATTTTTTAAGAATATTATATCTTCTCGGGGCTCCCAACTGTGTTTTTTAAAAGGTGAAACCTTCTTTTTTTCTATTACACTGTGACTAGTACCTTGTATATTGTTTTTACTCCATAGAGGTTATCACGAAAAAGTACGACGCCTATGGGTTTTCTAGATGCAAGGCGATGACGGTGACTCATTGTCGGTGACAGTGTTCGCTAAAGAAAAGCCTGGAAACGGAACTCGCGATGGATATTCCAGAAAGACCTCGACCGCGAAACATCTAGGAGGGAAGTATGGGCTTAAATAAAGGCCACCTTCGGGAACGAGGTTATTCAGGGAGTTTCAGTCAACGAATGTAATCCAGACAATGGAAGAAGTCGAGTCTAGTGTTATTATTCAGCCAAGGAGTCAAGTTCAGTAAAGAGAGAATGCAGTTAAGTTGCGCCGAAATTATTTTGTACATAATGGCTGTGATGCAATTAGTCGTATAAATTTGAGTTACTGAGAAATAAATTGTTGAGTTTTATCCACACCGATTTTTAAAAACACATTCAACGTAACAATAATTTTTTGATACTCCAGAAGCGAGGGAAGTTTTGCCGAAATAACTTTCGACCAAGTTTTTTCTTTCAAATGTTTATTTTAAGTTTAAAATCAGTTCCACTGAGCATTCTTGTATGTGAGACTGGGACACAAGCACTCTGGTACTCTACTTTTATACTGTACCACTTTTATAGCAAACATAAATATAATACGAAAAATCTACGACAAAAATTGGTCGAAGATTATTTCGACAAAACTTCCCTCGCTTCGGAAGTACAGTAGAACAAATCTAACTTTTTCTAAAGATTAATAAGATTTGATTTTGCGAATTTCTTTATTTATTTTTGTAACCCTTATAAGCCAAAATAAAAATACGTACGTAATGTTAAAGTAAAAGTAAAAAAGTGTACTATGCATTTGTTTGGATGGAAGCAGTGTAAAACTAAAAACAACAGTACTGTATTCCCAAATTTTCGAGAAAATGGAGTGAGTCGTTTTTGATTTAATCAATATAATAAATTGCTTCATCAATTCTTTTTTTTAGTCACCCTGTATAAGTAATTCTAAAAACAATAAGTGCACTGATAAACTAAAGTATAAAGTTACATCATTTTGCATATTTCAAAGAGGATTTATTAGGCAAAATTTTGAGATGGCGCCATCAATTTTTTGGTAGAGGATAAACGAATAAATTTTGATTAACGATTTTCCATGATTACGATAACCTTAAAACTTTTACAAGACTACAGCCTTCGAATTTGCAGTTTTAAAGATAAATTGCAAAATGTTGTTATAAAATTTTGATTTTTTTTCCAAAAATCTTGATCTCTAGGGTGAAAACTCAATACGGATTCATACGTCACAAGTGAACGAGTGTTTTATTTTATAATATTAAAAAAATATGTATGTATTATTGTAAATTTTGGTGATGCCGTCATCCGGTTGGTGGTGGACATTATTAAGCAAATTTTCGTTAACGTTTTCCAATCCAGTAGTTTCGAAAATTGACCCTTTTCCTGTAAGCAAAGTGAGTAGACATTATATAAATTCCAATGATACAGAGTGAGACAACATCGCGCAGGCGAAGTCAGATTTTTAAAGCGCCAAGTTAAAATTAACCAATGAGCGACCGATTACACATGTGTAGCCGGTTGCATTCTGTCAAAGCGGTTTGTTTTCACAGGCCTTTGCTCTGCTGCCGGAGTGCCGGATACTATTTCCAATGTGGTTTTAAAGATGCGTGCGCACGGAAAGTCACTATGGGAGTTTTACGATCTTACAGGAAAAGGGTCAATTACGTGTCTAATAAAAATTCACACAACACACAGACGCTAGACAAACAGACAGACAGGCACACAGAGAGACGGAAACGTGAAAACACGGTTTTTCCTCACGCTCAGAAAGTAATAAAAACCATTAAAATAACATTGTATTATAATTTTTAATAAATTTAATAAAACTCTTGTGAATAATTTGAAAACTGTTAATTTTACTACAGGGGTGTCAAAAATGTTTCTTTAAATTTATATTTAAACTTGAAATATATGCAACACAAAAAACAGCAAATTTAAAGGTCATAAATAGATAAGCTACTTCTTATTAGTTATTACTACTGACCAAGTTTACACGTTAAACATAATTACCAATTTTGTCTATAGTATTACAGATTTCCAAAACCCTAGAATAAAATCCAAAATATTTTTATCTGCAAATGTTGCAAATGATAACAATTTCTCAAATTGACATCTGAAATGAGGTGTCAAAATCGTCAAAAACATAACCTCCAATTTTCAAACTTGCCTACAATAATAAACAAAATGGGGGCCCCTATTTGTCGTACGTGCCTGCAACAAGGACCTGTAAAGTCAATTTTCACAGTACACAAGCAAATTTCTGTGTGTTTTTCAAAAATGCTGGATTTTTGTGCATCCGTACAGGTTCACCACCACCTTTTAAAATACCATTAAGTTGAACCAAACATTTCAGGCAGAAATCGACGACGGCCTACCTTCAGAAATCTGCCGAAAATGTGCAAACGCTTTAGTTGCGTTTTATAAATTTAAAAGATCAGTAATTGACAACGACCAAAAACTTAGAAAGCAACTTATATCCACGAATATCACAATAAAAAGCGAATGTGACAGTGACAATAAACAAGAAGAAATTGGGGGTATAGGTGATAAACATGAGAGTGAATTAAAAAGTGAGGATGACCTCACTGATGTCAAACCTGTTAAATCTAGAAAAACACACCAGTGTGATGTGTGTGGGCAATTTTTTTGTGGCCGGAGTAACTTGAGTCAACATATGAGGGCACATAGAGATGATAAACCGTATGAATGTGATAGTTGTGGAAAAAAGTTCCGAAGATTTGAGCACCTGAAAATTCATAAAAGAATACACACTGGTATATTTTGCTCATTTGTTTAAAATTTCAAATGTAGCTGTTATTTGTAGGTGAGAGACCTCATCAGTGTACCATTTGTTCGAAACGTTTCATCCAATACGCCACTTTAACTACTCATTTAAAGACACACAGCGGCGAACGTCCTTATATGTGCTCAACTTGTGGAAAATCATTCAGTCAGTCCAGTACTTTAACTTACCACATGAGGATACATACAGGAGAAACACCCTATAGATGTAAATTATGTAATAAAGGATTCACACATTCTGGTAACCTGAACATCCACATGAGGTTTCATAAAAACGAACGACCGTTCAAATGCGAACTTTGTGAAGTGACGTTTGTAACTACTTCACATTTGTCTCTCCATATGAAAAAGCACACAGGAGAAAGGCCACACAAATGCAAAGTTTGTGGCAAAGGATTTCTCCGAAGTGAACATCTAAAAGGCCATTTAGTAATACATTCAGGAGAACGGCCTTACGTTTGTAATATTTGTTTGAAGAGGTACACACAAAGTAGTCACTTGACTCGACACATGAAAACCCACAAGACATAGCGCGCGTTTTTTTGGATTTGAGATGTCTAAAGTGGCCAACGAAAGGTGACCCCATTTCGTATTATCAACGACACTGCAGTTATTAGTGAATTTGTAAATGAATAAATTATCACAAGTACCGACATAAGTATCCACTTGTTTTGGATATCGTGTTTTTTTTTAATTTGATCACTCGATTTAATGACTAGACCTCCTTGTTTTGACATTGCTGTGACGTAATGCGACGTGTACCAATCACATCTCGCCAGCAAAATGTCTACAAATCACTGGATGATCACCGTGGTTGCTGGTTTGTCAAATTTTTAATTCTGTCAACGTGTAAAACCAAACACTTCAACAAATTTATTTTTGATAGATTTTTGTCATTAATTGGGTTCTTAGACTAGACAGACGCTCAGGTAATTAAAACTCATCAACTCCACAAGTAAAATACATATTTTTCACTCACAACCGGCAACTCTTTCAACATAACCTCACTCTCAGTTCGTTTTATTTTTAATTTGTAGTTGAACAAAATGGAATTCCAAGTAATCTTCACCGTACTCTTCGGCACAATAGTCACCATTAACGCTCTAAAACAGGGAGAGTGCGAGGTCTGTATAAAAGCCTTGGACAAATTCTCTGCAACTCTGTCAGACGATGTGAAAAAAGACCCAAAACAGATAGAAACCAAATTTAAAGATTTTTGTAAAAGCACGAGGAACAAAGAAAATCGATTTGTAAGTATAATTCATTTTATATAGCGTAGTCTGATGAAAGTGTGTCTGCAGTGTTACTATCTGGGAGGCCTGGAAGAAAGTGCTACAGGTATCCTAGGAGAAATGTCGAAACCCCTCTCGTGGTCAATGCCTTCAGACAAAATCTGCGAGAAATTGAAAAAGAAAGATGCTCAAATTTGTGAATTAAGGTATGATGTCGAGATTGATTTGAAGACTGTGGACTTGAAGAAACTGAAAGTTAGGGATTTAAAGAAAATCATTAATGATTGGGGCGAAGATTGTCAAGGGTGCATAGAAAAAACTGAATATATTCAAAGAATAGAGGAGTTGAAACCCAAGCACACAGAGTTATAAATGTGTGATTAGGAGAATTATTGGACTGATTATTTATTGTTTCTCAGAGCCGTAAACGCACTCATTTTCTTGGTGACTATCCAGTGTTTATTTAGTTGTGCATGGATTTCTAACAGTTCTGTTCTTTCATTTGTGATTAAGTTAGAAATGTGTTTATATTTATAATAAATATGCAGACTTATGTAAAACAAATGTTTGTTTTCAACTTTCATTTGATGAAGATATATACCACGTGGTTCTTTTATTGGGTACAACCCCTGTAACTTTTATTTTTAAAGATAAACTTAGTTCTTTAAGCAAATTTGTATCATTTTAAAAGATCACTTATGTGAATTAATGACATGAGTGTCAATTTTGCAAGATACTAGATTGTCAATAAACATGAATTTTTCGTCGTATTTTATTGAATAACTTTTTAAGTATTGATTTTAGAATGTTAGTTGCTTAAAAATCAATCTTTCCATTTATGAAAAAGTATACCTAGTGTTACATAAAAGAAAACAAAGTTGACGTCATTTCCGGTTATACCGGAAGTGATAATAAAAATGTGGGGTGGCCATCACATAGATCTTTTAACATGATACAAATTTGCTCAAAGAACTACAGGTTTATCTTTAAGAATAAAAAAGTTACAGGGGTTGTATCAAAGAAACGAAACACCCTGTACATTTTGGTAGCAGCGTCCACAAATAATACAGCTTAAAACGTACTGTATAAACAAAATAAGGTTTACTGGTAAATTTTGTCCCACCAAACTGCCGATTTAATTCATTTAGTATTTATATTTAGTAGACCTATGCTGCAAATTTTTTCTCCTTAAGGTAGGCGTCGGCGCACCAGTTTTATCACTTTAGGAGACTCCATTCGGAAGGTCCGAGAGCTGTCCCCTAATGATGAGTTACTGAAAATATCGGTAGAGGTACAGATCTCGATTTCGTAGGGGCTTGTCTACCCCCATTTGTAAGAAATCCCATCTACCTGCATATTATTATTCTTCGGTATTAGCGATCTGTTTTGTGTCCAAACTTAAACTATTGAAAATGAGAAGACATTTTTATAAACCTCAAATATTATACGTATGTTTTCATTAGACAACACACAATTTTCTCCATTTTTCTTCGTTTCTGTGATATATCTAATACTACTACCATCACTGCTACTACTATTACTATTAAATATATGGTTTCTGTTAATATAGGTATATGTATTTTGTATAAAATTTTGTTTGTTACTGAGCTCAGTTTATTTATTATAATGTAGATGAGTGGAAGGGAAGCATTTTTTTCTTTCAATTCCCACGTATATGATACCTCTATTACACTGTGTGATTGCAGTTGAAAGTAATTTTCGTGTGCGCTATTTCAAAATCCAAACAACTCGAGTCTTTGACTTTTTTTCTTAGCATTAAAACTAGAAATAGAATTAAAGAAATATTAAGGAGGGTACGCTTAATGAGAATAATCGACGCGATTTATTAAATAATACCTAGTTCTAGAACAGCTTTCTGTAGCTGTACCTACACACAATTATCCGGAAATTTGTGTCATAATTATCAAAACTAATTTTTTATCTCCCTCCTCTTGTATAAAATGTATCAAAACTTACATCCACTAACATCTAAAGATGTGTGTCTTGGATATACATATATCTGATATGTTATTGCTGATAAAAGCCGGGCACAAACACCGAATCATGGCTGATTTAGATGTTTTGTTTATACCATTGTCATGGAAACCACACGTCCTATGCCTGATTCAACTGGACTGCGGTCCCGTTCCGACAGTGCTCGGCAAGATTGAGTTACTATCGCGAGTTTTAATTTTCATTCTGTGCGAACACGTATTCTTCGATAATCTTCTCGCTAATACAGGCATTCGGAAACAACTACACACCGCCTATATTAATAATATTCGGGCACTTAACGCAAGGGTCGACAAAAATCACCATATATTACGCCGATTGATAATGTGCATAAAATTTTGTGGAGTGTTTGAACTTGCTTTACGTGGACATGACGGAAGTATGGAATCAGAAAAGCGAGGTCTGATTGATTTTACGGCTGAATTGGACTTTGGTTTATGAGATCATTTGAAGTGGTTTCTAAAGGAACGCCTAAAACTGTTCAAAATGAACTTTTAGATGCCATAAACGTAAAATTTTAACCGAAAGCAAAAAGGTATGTGGAGAAATTCTTTTTTGCTTTTATTGAATGTATTTTTGTATTTATTTCTGTCACACAATTTCGTCTATTAATTGGTAATAACAATCTGTTTTATATCTTAATATTTAATCAAATTGTGTCCCCACATTTCAAAAGGTCACGAGCCGCCACTGCCAAATTATCACTCGCTGAAGCTAGAACATTCACATCTTTCTGCATTTTTAGATTCTGTATTCTACTGGTAAAAAAACTGTAGGGTAAATTGCAGAACGAACTATAGCTAGAAAAAGGGTGAAAGAAGTTATAAATATACACTTTTATATACTTTTCTCAAGATGTTTGTTAAATAAATTGTTCTGTAAGTGTGCTTTCGGATTTTGTGTGAATTTACATATACTCCTATCAAACTACAAAGTTGTTAAATATGCCGTGTGTCTGGAAAATCGCGAATTAACTCTTTTTTTATGCTCTTTAACAATCAACTTTTGAGTCTGGGAAAAATAGTACAAAAATTCCTTCTCACACTTTGGTGAAGTTACAATGATTTTAAAATTAACTCTTTTGCTACGTTTAACAACTAAACAACACATTCATTATCACAATAACTAGTAATAAAACTTTTAGTTAATATTTCTCTCGCGAAGGTACAAATCAGCAGCTTACATTTTGAATGTTCGCAGTTAATTTTAGGTCCCTGGTGTTTTATTTCCAGATGAATTTAAAAGAATTTGATGTTTTGTTGTTAGATAAACTTGAAAAAATCTTTTGAGCTTTTAGTGTGTTATTTTTTACGAATTTGAAAAAGTCGTGAATGATTTTTTTTAATTCGGGAGAGTCTTGGGTACATACATACCCATGGTGGATTATTTTGGGAGCCCATGGAGATTTTTTTTTATAAACTAGCTGACCCCGTGAACTTCGTTTCACCTACAACTTAATTTTGAATCTGCAAACCGAATGCTTTGAAATCTGGTAGATGTTTTAAACATCTGATAAGCATAATAAATTTTTATTCAAAATAATACTTACTTCCTCCAAAAAATTGATGACGTCAGCCCAAAATTTTGCCAAATGAATCCTTTTTAAAATATCCAAAATAGGATGAGACTATACTTGTGATTTATCATTCCATTCATATTTTTTAGTTTTGCTTATAGGGGGTGTCTCAAAAAAAATTAATCACTGAGTCAGTTTATTTTATTGATTGAATCAAGAATTGCAAAACTAAATTTTTAGATTTATTGCAGACGTTTTGAAGTTACTGTTTGACATGGTACGTTTTTAATTAAAATATATCTGTTTATCAAGCCCAAAAACTTGATGACGTCATCTCAAGATTTTGCCGAATAAATCCTATCTAAAATGTGCAAAATATCATCAGTATATTTTCGTAAATTTATCATTGCATTCATATTTTTTAGATTTGCTTTTACAGTGACAAAAAAATGTATGGATCAGTCAATTTATTTTAGAAAATAACTCAAGAGTTGCAGAAATGACATAATTAATATAATTCATAATGTTTAAATATGATAACTATTAATATGTGATAATTAAACCGAAAACCATTTTCCTAAGAACACGAGGTTAGCAAAAACAAATTAGTTTGTTTAAACTTTGTTAAATTAACTCCGAACATGTACAATTTCTGAGCGAAAATATGAAAAATAATTTTTGCAATCTCATCGTGACGTACGATGACGCCACTGTCACGTGAGCCACCTGATAAAAGGTCACATTTTTCAGTCCTCTGCGTTTAGTTTTGATTTCGGTTTGGTGGCAGCAACATCAGAGTCCGTTTTGGCTTAAAAGTAGGGCTCTTTTCACGAATTTCTAATTTATATACATATTTAAATATTAGTGAAAATGTGTTGTATTAGTACTGTGAACACGAACGAAAATGGATATTTTTTCGAAAAGGACCGAAAACAGGGAAGTTCGAGTTCAGTTTTAATTTATCGGATTCCGTGATTCGCTCACTCGACAATATTTAAATTTTGGGAAAATTTTCGAAACGATTGAAATCGGTTGATCAAAGCTATATATTTTCACGACATAAATAAATTAATTTTAAACATAATTAATATCATTTATAATGTTTAAATATGATAAGCATCAATGTATGATAATTAAACCGAAACCCGTTGTCCTACAAGCCCGAAATTATTAAAAACAAATCAATTTGTTTAAACAATGTTAAATTATCCCCGAAAATGTGCATTTTCCCGGCCAAAATATGAAAAATAAATTTTGCAATCTCATCGTGACGTACGATGACGTCAATGTCACCTGAGCTACTTGTATAAAGGTCACGTGTTTCGGTCCTTTGTGTTCAGTTTTAATTTCTGTTTGATGGCGGCAAGATCGTCGCTTCATTTCGGCGTAAAAGTGGAGCGTTTTATCGAATTTCTAGTTTATTATTAATACATATTACGGAAAATATGTTGTGTTAGTGCTGTGAACACGAAGGAAAATGGATATTTTTCCGGAAAGGACCGAAAACAGGGTAAGTACCACTTCAGTTTTAATTTATCGGATTCCGTGATTCGTTTGGTCGACAATGTTTACATTTTGGATAAATTTTCGAAACGATTGAAGTTGGTGGGTCAAAGCTATACATTTTCGCGATATAATTAAATAAAATTTAAACATAATTAATACAATTCATAATGTTCAAATATGATAACTATCAATATATGATAATTAAACCGAAATCCGTTTTCCTAAGAACACGAGGTTAGTAAAAACAAATTAGTTTGTTTAAACGTTGTTAAATTAACCCCGAAAATGTACAATTTCTGATCTAAAATATGAAAAATAATTTTTGCAATCTCATCGTGACGTACGATGATGTCACTGTCACGTGAACTACCAGATAAAAGGTCATATTTTCGATCCTTTCTGTTCAGTTTTGATTCCGGTCTGGTAGCAGCAACATTGGAGGTTCGTTTTGGGTTAAAAGTAGCACGTGTTCGCGAATTTCTAATTTATTGTTAATAAATATTAGCGAAAATGTTTTGTGTTAAGTGCT